GCAAATTTAAATTTTTGCCAGTGCTGTGGCACTGCAATCTTTGGCTATGTCTTGGGCTACTCAAATATTTTACGTTTTTGATACTAAATTAACTTCTGAAGTATAATTTTTTATTGTTTTTATATTTTTCAATAAATTTATTTTGTTCGTACAAAATAAAAAAATAATTTCTAACGATACAATAGTCTTCGTTAGGCTTAACATCGACGAAAATTCAACACGAAGCAACACGCAACGGAGAAAAATGTCAAGATGGGATAAATTAATATATTTTTTCGTACATAATCAATTATCCAAAACATCGATCTTCCGAACAACCCCAGTACCCAATTGATTCAGATAATCAACACTCTACTGTATTAATTTTTATTTTTATGTGTATAATTAGTGTATGCATATATTTGCACATTTTCAGTCTGTAGATTCTATTTATCTATTTTCAAACTTGTGCAATAAGCATTGAGAAAACTTTTAAAGTTAAAAACGTTCTATAATCAGTTTTGTTCATCATAAATCAAAAAATTGTTTGATCCTGATGAAGGTTATTAATTAATTGACCGAAAATGTTAGATTACATTAATAAAATAGACTGCATGTTAAAGGTTGGTAAAGTGTAGTTATTTTTGAAAGTGCAGTTTGAGAAGAGTGTTTTTTAACATCAAAATCTTTCATTAAAAGTAATAAAAATTCTAAGATTGCTGGATTACATCTTAAATTTTTACACAATCATATTATCTAAAATTTGCAAAATCTGTTTAACTCAAAGTAATTTGAAGTAATATTTTCATCTGATTTTTGTTATTTTACAATACTCATGTTCAATGTATTATTCTAAGATGCTATTTTTTTAACTTGTAATATGAAGACTAACTTGCAACATTCAGTACATTAATTAAAAATACACACTTACCTTTTTAGTAAACCATTTTAAGTTATAAAAAATGAAGACTGATCAAATCAATTCTCTATAAAAAATATAAAACCCAAGCAATCCAAAAAGTAAGATAATTTAAAATAAATAAAAATTAATCCCTTCAATCTTCTCAACAGTCCTTTTTTATTAATAGAAGAGGTAATTCAATATACTATATATGCATTTTAAACTGTTATAATTCACATTACGTCTTCAGTAGCAGTACAGAAAGAAAAGAGGCACAATACAAACTCATTCAACAAAAAACATGAGAGAACTCAGATACAACTTTGTTGTGTGTTACTATCTGATTTAATATCATCATATTAACCCATAAATTTTGCATGTCACCATATACATTGCTTATTTTTAATATTGATTATTAATAAATGTTCTTTAAATTTCCTTTTATAGATATTCTTTTCCTTATCTATTTTATGAGTTATGATAATATTAAATAAGATAGCAATGTGTAACAAATGCTTGGTTTTCTCATTTTTTTTATCAAATGAGTTTGTACTGTTCCTCTTTCCTTTCTGTGTTGCTACTGAAAAGGAATTGTGAATTAGAACAGTTCAAAATGCATACAGGGTATTGAATTACCTCTTCTATTAATAAAAAAGAATTGTTAAGAAAAGGTGATTCATTTTTTATTTTAAACTGCCCCTAACTTTTGGGATTTCTTGGAGTTTTATATCTTTTTATAGAAATAAAAATAAATATTTAAATTTGTCTCTTTTTCAATTAATCCATTGTCCTTGATTGATAAGTTAATATTTTATTTAGCTTCCTAATAATTTTTTTTTTAAGTTTATTAACAATTTATGCTTCTAATTAGTCATCTTAAATACAGTAGAACCTCGATTATCCAGATTGTTCAAAATAAACAAAAATTTTACGAATTTGCTGATTTGACCTTGGTGAATTACGATACTGTTTATGTATGTGATGGAATGCATAACTTTTTTTGTTTCAACATCTCACCCGGCACAGTGGCTGTAAACTCTTAAATATATTTTGCGTCGTAATAAAAATATAACTTGACATACGTATTTATAAATAATTTTATTTTCAAATGACATCATTTCTATGACCAAGGGCGGCGTAAGGTATGAGCAACGTGGGCCACCGCCTATGCCTCGCGTTTCGAACATTTATGCATTACTTAAAAGCCACAAACGCAACAAAAAAATTTCACTCATCATAAAATGATAAATAGTTTGTCAAATTTTTATTCATAAAAATGCAGTTTCGACTGCTTTTTATTTTATAAAATCCGTCTTTTTGTGCCACCAGAGGGCCTTTTAAACAATAGGTAGTCTGTTAGGGTTGGTCAGTAGTAGTCCAAATTCAATACGAATGTTTGTTTCTTGAAAATTTGATCACGATTTAAATACAGTATTTACTTTTAATATTACCGATATGTCATCGAAAAGAAAACGTGTTGTATTATCATTAAAAAACAAAGTATTTGTTTCGATTATCCGAATTTTTCCTTATCCGGACTACCTTCATCCCCAATTAGTCCAGATAATCGAGGTTCTACTGTACTTTATATGTTTATTAATATTATTTTTAAGAAAAGTTTTTTATAGATATTGCTTATTCAGAAAATTAAGCCAGTATTACTTCAAATTGATGATTTCTCATAAATTTCAATGCTTCTCGAATCTTTGGAACTGCAGTATATGCCTTACGACCAGCAATAGGATGATGTGCTTCCTCTCTCTGACAACCAGGATTTTGAATTGATATTGTTGGAGAACTAAAAGCTTGCTTGTATATCCAATCGGCTTCTTCTTCAATTTCATCATCTTCTGCTTGAGTGACCGGTATTCCTCTTAACTATTACATAAAACATCATTATCATTAAATACCTAAATCACTCAAACTTAGTACACATAATATCAAAAAGATCATAATCTACCTGAAATCTTTCTGGAATATCTGTTACTCTTATCTCATTATCTAAGTCAGTAAAATGACCCCGTTCCAATTCACTTGGTTCAAAAACCTAAATATAAGTTTTAAAAAAAGTCTTAAATTTTTATTTATATAATATATATTTATATTTTTTTTTACTTTAAACACATCAATAATTAAAATATATTTTATATATCTTTATAACAAATTCTATTACAAAATAATAACTTACATCAAAAATACTTTTCTTTGTTGGTCTTTTTTGAACACTCCTCTTAGGACGTGGTCTTGTTTCACCTTCCTCTTCCTCTTCTTCATACTGAACAAGATTTAAAATATATTATATTCATCTGATAAATTTTTAAAAATACATATGTTAATTTATGTTCAAGATTTGATACTCACACACACATATATCTGTGTGTTTTCATATATACTCACATGTTTTCAAGATTTGATACTCACACACACATATATCTGTGTGTTCAGGCATCTGTTAATGGCGATAATGAAATCGCCATTTACAGATATGCCTGAATAGCAAACACCTCTACTTAACGAATATTTTTACAATCCCCAGACCCTTCAAATAAGACTATTATATTTATCTCTAAACAGCGCACACTCTAAATAACAGACACTGTTGTCCATAACCAACTTACGAAAATGCAATGTCCCGCCTTCAATATTCTAAAAGTACCCAACTTCACTGCCTGTAACCAGAATTCTTCTACTCCAATACGTTTGCAAAGTCCTCTGTATTGGAGTAGAAGAACACCGGTTACAGGCAGTGAAGTTGGGTAATTTATCTATTCCGGTGTTAAAATTTCTGTATAGTTCATCTAATTAGCGATGCCGGCTAATAACTATCAACGAACGCTCGTAAGCCTTACTAAGGCCAGAGCGAGATGCAAATTCCTATCTGAATGCAAAAGAAATAAAGTCTTACCGATGACGATATTCAGGATCAGACTGCCACCAGGGAACGAACCGTCACTAAATAGAATCAAGAACATGTGCTTAAATAGAGCCATAAGAACAACCAAGAAACTTATCTTTTCTAAATTGGCACAACTGATACAAATTGAAAACGCCTTTTTCGACATCAACATAGACACCCTAAAGAAAGAAAATGCCAGACTGGTTGCCTTTCAAGAAAAGCTCTCATATTCCTGCAAAAAGAAACATCAAAAGAAACTACGGTGGATCCTAAAAGTACAATCACCATACGAACGCTCCCCTCCATCATTCCCGTTCATTAATTGGGATAACATACAGCTTCCCTCATACATGACAGAAGTACTACAGTTGGGCCCTAAATATGCACCCCATCCGATTTCAGATAGAGTTGACAACATCCCTGAAATAGAAGCATTATTGGCAGGTTCTCCAGCCATAGATAAGGAATTCTACCAATGGAAAATCACTCATACTCTCAAAAATTCCAAGGAAGCAAAATAACATAAACAAATTAGAAATAAGGTGGAGCGCTCTCGCAGATGGATGCACACAAATAATATAACTCTCATCAGAGCAGACAAGGACAACTCGTTGGTCCTCATGAAGAGAGATACCTATAATACACTAGTAGAAAACCATATCCACAACACTCAATGCAACATCATCGCCACCAATGCCGTCAACAACCTATAAACCAGGGTAAAACGCTTTGCGAGTTCTAAACTAGCGAAACAACTGGGAATGACCAACATTGTTACAGCCGCACTTGGCACCCCCAGAACGTTTGCGTTTGCAAAAACTCACAAACCAGGGAGAGAACTCAGACCTGTGGTGGACAAGGCCAGAACACCAACTATCAATTTAGAGAAAGCTACACAAGGATTATGAGTACCTCAACTGGACGGATACCCACACACCATAACCAGATCGGCAGACCTAGTTAACATCCTTAAACACGTATCGACACCTCCGAAATTCATAACTGTCTTGGACTTCAAATCTTTATATCCTTCCATCAATCTCCCATCAGTATTTTGTGCCATAAGAGATATGCTCATGCACATGATCCAAAATAACACGTTACAACAGTACATCCTAGAAATGTCACATCTGCTCTGCCACAACTCTTTCTTCAGATTCAACGGAGTCACTTACGAACAACAACGTGGTGTACCAATGGGAAGCCCAGTCGCAGGAGACCTCTGCGAGATTGCGGTGAGGAAACTCAAATCGGAATTCTTACCATCTCAACTCCCACACATTCTTCTATACAAAAGATACATCGATGATATCTTATTCTATGGAAAAAAATCCCAAATATCTCGATGCTAATCGACTCCATCAACAATAATCCCTATGGATTAACAATGGAATTAGATCAAGCCGATCCTACCCAAGCACACTTCTTAGACAATAACATCAAAATAGAGGGATCATCCATCAATACAGAAGTGTATCATAAACCAACCGCTCAACCTTTGTATATACCTGCAACATCATGTGACCCACCACAGTATAAGATGGCAGCATTCAACACACTAATCAAAAGAGCATATTCACATTCCTCGTCACAATCAGCTTTCAATTCTGAAATGCGACGCATAGAGCACATAGCTAAACAACATGGCTATCACAACGTCTTATGCAAGATAAACAACAAGGTACTCCAACAACAATCCAACAACACCTCTCATTCCAATGATTCCCTGGTTAAGTACATACCAATCACGTACAACCCGGCACTTAAGGCCATATACAACCAGATAGCCAAGAAAAAGAATGTCCGCTTGGCATTTAGGAGGTGCGCCACAATATTCGATTGGCTTAGGAACGGAAAAGACGCTCCAGACAGCAACAGACTTCCGGGAGTATACTCTGTGCCCATCATCGATCATAGAGACAACAGCGAAGTATTCTACATCGGGTCCACTAAACGCAACTTAGTAACTAGAATCAAAGAACACAAAGCGGACACCCTACATCATAGAAACAACACCGCCTTAGCGGTATACTCCTCCGACCCAGAAATAGAGCCGCTATTCCCTCTAGCCAGAATTATTCACACCACGGTCCGCACAGAACACCTCAGATGGCTAGAGGCCATATACATTTGCCTTAACACCCTCAGGAATAAGCACTGCATTAACTTCAAACAAGAAATGAAGATATCAACAGCATGGGAAGCCTTCCTAAATAAAACTCTAAAGTAACAACATACGGATAATGCGCAAGTCTACAATGACGCCATCGGTCACACGTGACAATGTTCCAAAAAATTTTCCAAAACAACGATTAATTCTGGAAATTCGAATTCATATAGGAAATTCCATAGCGCCTGAAGAAGAACCACATTAGGTTCGAAAACGTTTGCAAAGTCCTCTGTATTGGAGTAGAAGAACACCGGTTACAGGCAGTGAAGTTGGGTAATTTATCTATTCCGGTGTTAAAATTTCTGTATAGTTTATTCTAAAAGTACTAATTACACATGAAATATTTTAAAACTAAATAGTTTCAGTTCAAATACTCTTTCAGACAACGAATTTTGACTGTAGGTGTAAGACTGGCTTAAAATAGGAATAAGAAAGGAGGACAGATTATAAGAAGTCTAACAATACCGTTTATCTGTTAGAGAAGTTTAATCTGCTTAAGTTGATAATCACCATTTATCATTATACATATTAATGTTATTAATCTTCTGTCTTATTGTTAGAAATTAAACTGATGATACCAAAAAACCATAAACTTTTTTGAAGTTTAATTCAACAAGAACCATAGTATAGTAGAAACTTAATGAAAAAGAAACTTAAGATCATAAATGATATCATGAATGTGAGAAAATCAAATATCTTCCTACATTTGAAAGTGGTTAACAAATTGCCTTTATAATACAACCTTTGAACTTTCACCACACAAACGCTGTTGTTGTAACTGTTTTAATAACTTTGTGGTGGATAAGGATTTTTAATAAATCAGTTACTGAAAAAAGCAAAAATTGTTTGAAAAGTTACACAACTTCTCGATAACTACTGTGAGAAATCAGACTCTCTTGTAAGAGTTTTCAGTAATAAAAGTCATATAGAATTTTTCTTTCGTCATTATTTCCCTTATTTCTCCCGTCTTCACCCCTTTGCCCGGGGAATAGACCTTGTGACCCCAGGTCTTGTACTGCATCACTTAAAAGGGTGACCTCCTAGACGGACAAAGTCGTCCGAGTCGACTGCGGAAGGACTCCCCTCTCCACAGGGGATCGCTCGATTTTAAGGTATCTGCGGTATAACCAATTAGCAACAATAGACATGTGTTACTGCGTAGAGGGTGAACGAAAGGGTCACCTGCAAGGGTAGACCATACAGTGAGAAACTATATCACGTTACCGAGGATGGCCAGTCATCTCCCCAGGTGATGACGAATTTAATACTAATTGGTCAAGAGATGTCTAATGTCGTCACCCATGACGGGGGAGACAGTGATAAATCTGGAGAACTGTCAAATTCAAGTAAACAACACATGCTGCAAAGACAATTACATCAGCAAAGTCCCAGATATTTCCCACGCTAATCGGGTATAAAAGGGAATTGCTCCCGCACCTCCGGGCAATTGTTGGGAAGAAGCCAAGGATTGGACTCCTCAAGCCTTCTCTGCCTTTGGGAACTTTGCAGCTTCTGATTGCCATTCCAAACGAGGTAAAGACTTAGAATATTTTTACTTCCCTCTCTCTCAGTTTAGTCGGGACTTAGAAAACATTTGCTTCTCTCTTGGTAGCCGGGACTTAGAAAATATTCACTGCTCTCTCAGTTTAGACTAGACTTAGAAATAATTAACTTATATCTCGGTTTAGTTTAGAACTTAGAAAGTTATTGGATTGAGGACCTTCGGCGGTCCCACCATCGGGAAAGATGGACATTGGCTGTCTATTATTGTCGCAATGCAGAAATATTATTATTATTATCATTATTACTTTCTTCTTGTTGGAATTTAGAATATACTTACATGTATTTGTATCATTTGTTTTATATTAAATATGTTATTCTTAATTTTAATATTGTGTCATCTTTGAGTACTACCGACACCTCATCACGACTTCACTACCCCTCCCACTCATTTAACAAAGCCATCCCTGACAACGAAGCCAATAAGTGGGGAGATACTCACAGGCTCTAATTACCTCGGTACACACACTACAAAGCAGACAAATTTCTGTATTGATTTTTATTAGTCGCTCAGATCATAAATGATGTTATAAATGTAATAATTTCAAATATATTTCCCATCCCTTGAAGTGGATAGCAAATCGCCTTCATAACTTGACATTTGAATGAAATTCAATTAAAATGAGATTTTTACAGTGAAAAAATAATAATAATAATAATAATATTGTAGAGAATCCTGCCTGCATTCATGGATTCCCTCCCACCATTTTGTTGTACCGAATTGAAACAGTCAAATATCTTAACAAAAAACAAGCTTTAATCACATTTAATCATATATGGTAGAAACTCAATCCCACACAGTTAACAAGACTCTTCTTATCCTTCCTTGCCCACTTTCAAACTTCACCACTTTTCCTCTTGTCACTAACTCTACCATCCTCCCACCTCTACTGTGACTTTTCTTCTCTCCTGTTTTCCTCGCTTATTCTCCCCCCTTTTTTGACTCTTTGTCTTGTTTATTACTTTTATGACTGCTTGTAAAGGGATTGAATATAGGCCAGCAAGACAACAGTCGGGGAAAAAGTAGGTCCAATATCACTACAAATATTTTGCATATACATTTTAATTATATATGCTACATATACTTTTCAATATACAGTAGAACCTTGATTATCCGCCCCCGATCAACCGACCCCTCGGTTAACCGACCGTCCTAGTTGGCAAATTTCAAATGTCCGCTAGTGATGTGGCGCTACAATATTTGGCTATGTCTTGGCTACTTTAATATTATTTTTACGTGTTTTAGCTGGCAACACTCATTCGACCATGAAAGGGAGCCAGTATTTAAACGAAGCTTAATTTTCTAATTTTTAACGATACAATAGCGACGATTATTATTTTAAAAAATTTTTGTTAGGCTTAACATCGATGAAAATTCAACGCAAAATAGGTTAATAGCGATATACTAATATACTAATTACATGGGATATAATAATATACTACACTAATAATGGATTTTTTCATACTTTTCGGTTATCGGACTTTTCAATTATCCGACCAACCCCAGTCCCCAATTAGGACGGATAATCGAGGTTCTACTGTATTCACATTCCTAATGCAAATTTGACATTTTCATAAACCATTGTATTCTTCACTTTATACTGACCATGTTAAAAATATAATATGGCCGCTGGCATGTACCACCGAATAGCAGACAAACTTCTCGGTCACAACAGTGTCTGCTATTCGGAGATTATAGTGTATATACATACACATACATTTTCAAAAATACTTTATTTGAAAAAAAATAACAAAATAAAGCTATAAGCTTAAAACAAAATAATTTATTTACATAGAGCTAAAACACTTGAAATGATTTTCTAACAAAACTAACATAATTATTTTTAAAATAGTAATTTTTTTATTATATTAAAACATTTACCTCTTCATCATCAATGTCTTCTTCATATTCTTCACCATAATGCTCAAATTCATTATAATCAAAGTCAACACCAAATATATCTTGAGCTTCTTGAAGTGCCCTGAAATGAAAAATAATGAAGGAAACTTTCATTATTTGCTAAAAAATTTTTATGATAAAATATTTGTATACAATTAAGTATAACAATGACTGATGCATTACCGTAAGCAAGTCATAAACTAGCAGATAATATCAATGTAGTATGTTGAAGATTTAAGGCCTTTATCACTATTTATATTTGATATTGTTCAAATGGTAAACAATTGCTATGAGATTATGCAAAATAGTACAGTAGAACCTCGAAAACTAGGCTCTCAATAACCCGGCACTCCAGATAACTCGGCCACACCCTGGCAGGGCAAAAAAATCCTTAGTTAATTAATTTTCATTATAGACAGCTTTATAAAAGTATAAAACCTCTCATAAAGTATTTTTCTGAGGTCTGTCTTATCAGGTAAATTACTGTACACAGTGTATTCATTAATTTTCATTTTCATGTAGTAAAGGCTCTATGCCTTCATAAAGGACGTACTTTTCCTTTGTTTAAGGGTATTTGGGCAGTTTATTCTCTGTTATATTCTCAAGTAAACAATACATACAAGTACAGTACAGTATTTTCTGAGGAAACACTCGTACTTATTTTTTTTAACCCCATTCCCGATAACCCGGCATTTTCACAAACTCGGCCACCCTTCGGTCCACATTAGGCCGAGTTTTCGAGGTTCTACTGTATTTGGATAATTACATAAAACTTTAATGACATCATTTTATTTAAATTAAAGTGCCAATGTAAAAAATCTTAAATATTTATTTAAGTCTTTTCTAACTTTACCTTCATAAATACATTATACCCCGTTCGCACCGAGCATTTCGATCTAGATTGTGACTAAGGTCGGAGAGAGTTCCGTGGTGCGAACGCTCTCGACCGTTTCAATCTCGACTGAAACGAGGCTATATCGCGATCGACTGGAGAGAGTTCTTGAAACTAGATCCAGTCATAAGAGAGATCCCACAATCCCATGCGGGCGAGGAAATACAAGATGGCTGCTGAACACATGTCCGGCTATCGACAGAAAAATAAAAAAGACATCTGTCTATTATTAGATATACGGCAAGAAAAAGTATTTATTTCTAACCAAAACTTCCATTTTGTTTGTTGGTGTTTGTGACTTACCGCGTAGTTATGTCAATTTTATCATCGCAAGTAATAGCCAGGTTCTTCTCAAGCGAGTTACCTGTGTGAACAGCACAACGTTCCACTGGCAACAGTCACAATCCAGATTGTGGGTAAATCGAGATTGAAGTGAGTCGTGGATTGTGTGCGAATGGGGTATTACAGTCGACACCCTCGATAACACTGTTGATAATTCCATTTTATATGAATTCCATGTTGTACAAGTCACTTAGATTTTACAAATACGTATGCCGGGCTGTTAACAGATCACATATTTGTAAAATCTAAGTGACTCGTACAACATGGAATTCATATAAAACGGAATTAGCAACAGTGTTATGGGGGGGGGTCGACTGTACAATCTTATTCTGTTATTAAATTATTTTATACATTTTCATAAGCAAATAATAAATCAAAAAAAAGAAATTCAAAGAAGTTGATTGATGTCTTTGAAAAATTAAAATTGAAAACAATACTTTAGAAAGTACAACTGATTTAATTTTTAATGCCATATTCAAAAAACTATAAAAACAAAAACTTAGAACTGGAGAATAAATTCTGAAATAAAATACTAATTCAGAAGATTTAATGATATGTCACTAACGTAATAAAATTTTAAAAATTAATTGTTAAAGTTTGAAGCCTCAGAACTTGTACATGTAAACTGATCGTCCTGACTTCCTCTCATATTGTATAATTAAACAGAAAAAATTCACTTTATTGATATATTTGCATGATAACTGAATGAAAGATTGTTTTATAAAGAAAAACAACAAAAATATACTTTAATATAGAATTATAATATCTGCCAATAATAATAATAAAATCCAGACTAGAAGAACATTTTTTTTATATAGATATAGTTTTTGTTTTTATTACAAAAACTCATTTTCATCCCCAAAACTTAAAAAGCTAAAGCAATAATAATTCAAGTGAAAATATTCACAACCTATTATTCATAATTGAACAATTTACAATTTTAGAACATAATATATTGCACAGTTTATTAATAATATTAACTATTATTATTATTAGAAAAGTACAACATTTCATTAAGTAAAATCAAATTTTTCAAAAATCAAATTCAAAATCAAATAAAAATTATAAAACTCATTCAAAACTTTATTAATTTTTTATTAACATAATTCAAACACTTTTTTAAATTATCTTTTTGAAACTTTAATAACTTCAAAAAAACATCACAACTGATCACAAATGGCAACAGTATAGAGCTGAATGATTTAACCAGATGTTTTCTGGCATAATTTCGAATTTATGAAAATTTTAAATACATTATTTATAGTTTGAGAGTTTTGCAAAATCTATCGATATCAACTGTTTTGATATGGATGGAACAGCCCCAATTTAGAATTATACATCATGTGTCCCAAGTTTGTAACTGATTGTCCTATAAAACTGTTTTGTCACAAATTAAATCTTTATTTTTATATATTAAAACCCTTACAACGCTGCAAATTTCAGTCTCATGCATCAATTCTGCACTCAACTCAGTTAACATGCAAATACGAAAAGTTGTAGAATATAATTAGATAATGGAAATTAATTAAACACAATATGGTTTTTGATTTTGACTAGTCAATTTATACCCAATTAAGCCATTCTCATCACTGTTTTTGTGCAAGAACAGAAACAGTTTTGTTAAAAACTATACAGTGGGTGATCGGTTAACGAACAGATCGAATAACGAACACTTTCGCGAAAGATTTTTATGTTCGGACAACGAACACATGATCGGATAATGAACACCCCACAGAACAAACACAAGAAGAAGCAACGTAAAATAATGAATACCAATTGGTCTTCCCTTGTCTTCGGGCAACAATTCGAAACTTTTCGGAGTGTGGGAGACGTGGACATCGACGCTCAAGCCGGTATATACTAATCGGATAGTATTCCTCCGAACTTTGAAATTCTCTCTTGTAATTCCAGCCTTTTATTTTTCTGACAAAACAATTTTTTTGTGTATTTGCGAGACTGTCGGGTAGGCACTCGTTAAGTTTTGCGTCTGTTTTTCTTTTCGAAAGATGAGAGTATAATAGCAAAGGTAGAGAGTGGACAGAAAATACCTAATGTTGCTGGGCAATATGGAGTAAACAGGTCTACAGTAGGCCTCAGTTCAATCTTATTTAAGAAAAATGCTGTATAATCAAAAAGACTCCAGCAGCTAAAGCAGTAACAAAAATCACATCTGAGAAATAAAGAACATCAAAGAGTTCGTAATGGAACCTGAAACAGATCTGACGACAGAAGAACGCCAAGAACTCTTGAATGAAGAACACCAAGAAACTCGGCGATATATGTTTTCTTCTGAAAAAGAGGATTAATGCCGATATCTGTTATTAAAGATCTTTTGTAGAAGTGGGAGGATGTTAGAACAACGGTCTTAGAATGGCATCCAAACCATGTTGAGGCTTGGGGATATAATTACTTACGAAAAATCGTCAAGAAGAGAGAAAAGCAATCGACATTAGACAGATTCTTTAACCCTTTCAAATGGAAAAAACATGACTAATAAAAACGCAACACTGTGTATGTATGTAGTTTTATTATTACATATAAATAAACGTAGTAAGAAGGTATATATTTTTTATTTTTTTAAGGACTCCAGAATGAATTAATTAAATTCCCATTAAAACCTACGGTAAATCGATAATCGGTTAACGAACAATTCGGATAGTGAACAAAATCTTGGAACGGATTATGTTCGTTAACCGATCACCCACTGTATTCTAATAGAATTTAGATTTAGAAATTTATTATAATGCTGTTATTAATAAAACGGTTTTTGTTTTTCATTAAGCATATGATTTAAAAAAGTACATTTAAAATTGAATGTAACTCTTTGATTTAGGCAAATTAAAATATTAAATATAGTAATATTGTAACTATTACATTTATCTTATTTATGTCATCATATTCTAAACCCATAACCATCAAGTCATATATCTTTAAATTAAACAAATTTCAAAAGTTTAAAAGTTACAAGTGAAAACACTAAGTTAAATAATTTTGCTATATCCTACATATAGCAAAATTATATAAAACATTTTAGAGAAAGTAAAATAGCTTTTATTTATTTATTTATTAAATTAATCATTACATTCATATTGTCAGATATATAATAAATTTTTAATAAAAAATACTTACGCATCTGTATATTTAACATGGCGCTTCCTTTTCCCTTTAGTAATTGGTTGTCCATCATCATCAACAATAAAATCATCAGGATCTTTAAGAAAAAGTTATAGTATTTATTTATAGATATATACACAATATACATAAAATTTATAATTATGACATAATTGAAAAAAAGTATTGTTTCTAAAGTTAAAAGTAGCATTAAAAAACAATAATAGTCGATTTTGATAAATTAGTCATTACTTGTCATAATACAGTAGAGCATCGATTATCCGACTCAATTGGGGACTGGGGTTGGTCGGATAACTGAAAAAACGGATAACCGAAAAATATGAAAAAATACATTATTAGTATAGTATATTAGTACATTGCTATTAACCTACTTCGTGTTGAATTTTCATCGATGTTCAGCATAACAAAAACTTTTTTAAATAATAACTTTTGCCATTGTATCGTTAAAAATTAGAAAATTAAGCCTCGTTTAAATACTGGCTCCCTTTCATGGTCGAATGAGTGTTGCCAGCTAAAACACGTAAAAATACTATTAAAGTAGCCAAGACATAGCCAAATATTGTAGTGCCACATCACTAGCAGACATTTGAATTTGCTGACTAGAACACGGTCGGTTAACCGATGTGACGGTTGATCAGGGGTCAGAGAATCGATGCTCTACTGTACTAAAGAATATGAATTCAGATGTCATCAAAACTAAGATATTCCCCATATTAGTTTGAATTTTATTCTTATTCTTCAAATGAACACAATTAATACACCTCCACTGATTTAGCAGCCCACAAAATCCCATCTCAGAAAATGTTCTGTTCATTTATGAAAAAGCATCATTATTGAGAATGTGGAGATGATGCAAATCAGAAGAGAACAGTTTTACGTCATTGGTTCTACAAAAAGTGAGATAAAATTAAACATTTCTTGCAGAGATCATGTGAAAAGATTTCATACATAGTAAAAGCACTAGCCTTGAAGTACTCACAGTCCTGGCAATAGTGGCTATTCCATCATTCCCTGTAATTTTCTACCAGCACAATCTGCTGCACATCGCAGCAAATGAGTGCAGTGACATTAAACAGGTCCAAACATCAGTCTTTTGTACTGCCAAACATGGGAAACAAACACTCTCTCTCAAAATCAGAGGAAAGATTGTTGAAAATGTTTAACAGTATCCTGATAAAAAAAAATTGAGAGAAACCTCTCCATCAGTCATCCTTCCTTAAGCAGTACAATTCCACTGGAACCATTGTGCCAAAGAAAAGATATGGAATACAAAAGACTAAATCAGACATAGATTGCATGCTTATCTGAGAAATCAAGGCTCAGTGACCAGGAACATACACAGAGGCTGCAGCATAGGAATAGGAAGAAAAGATTGGTAGGCCAATTTCAGTCAAAATGTCCACTAAAAGGCTAAAAGAGAATGACTACAGATCATACAAAGCCATGCATTAGCCCCTTCTAATAAAGGCTTAGGAGGTGAAGCAGTATCAGTGGGCTAAAGATCATCTGCATTGGACAGATTAGGATTGGTGTCAAATAATATGGTCTGATAAGTCATCTTTTTAGATCTTGTATGGAAAAATTGGAAGCAGGGTCATCAGAACAATAAACAAAAGACTGAAGAAAAGCTGCATTAAAGAGCAGATCGAGTTTCCACTTAAGATGTGAATATGAGGATGTTTCAATGTTGCTAGCATAGGTAATATGTGGATTCCTTGTGGATCAACGTTAAAGGCAGTTGGCTACCAGAGACTGTTATGCAACACCATCCTCTCACTTCTTGACCGACTAGCTCCTGAAGGTGACTTCATGTTTTAACAGGATGGTGCTAAAGTCCATACTGTGACTACCAATGCTGCATGGTTAAGAAACCATTACACACCAGTCTGGCTGCCCAATTCTCCAGACATGAATGTAATAAAGATTTATGGTTATTCCTCAAGAAACATAAAAGAAAACCAAGGGACAAAATTCAATTGATGACCATTTTAAAAGAAGAATAGCTGTGAATCCAACAAGATGTGTGCTGGTACTTCATGTCTATGATGCTCTGTCATGTTCAAGGCTTCTTGTATGCTGCAAAAGGAGAAGTTACAAAATGATAAAAAAGTCACAAAAGAATAAAGAACCATTCTGCTATTTGTGTGAATTTTAAAGACAGAGTTTTCAACCTGAATGTTTTTTAATTTTTTACAATTATGAATACATGTACTATATTTCAAACTTTGTTTTCTACAAGTTGGAAATAAAAGGGGTTTCTTTTTATATTGTCAGCCAGTTGTTTTCCAAACTTGAATAAGTGGCAGGTGTAATTGCTCAACAAACTGCTTTTATTCATGTGCAAATTTCTAGGTCAGGGGGAAAAAAATATACTTACACACAGTTTATTTTTTTAAACCAATTTTATTGCTGTTTCTTTGAAACATTTTCTGCTTTATTAAAATACTAGCTGTTCTTCGTAATTTGTAATATTAAATATCCTTATTATATTAAGGCAATATATATAATTACCAGATTCTGCTTCAGATTCTGAAATATCTTTAAATTGCTCATCCTCTTCACCAGCATGAGCAGTCCCTCCTTCAGCTTCCTTTAATTATCCAAAATTAATAAAATTATTAATATAAATTATTATAATTTGCAAATCATACACTAAATTGAAAATTAAATACAAAGTTAATACAAAGTTAAAAAAACTTAAAACCTGACACTTTGTATTAATTAGTCATTAATACTGTAATGTACTGTATATCCTCCCTTGTCAACAAGAGAGCAAATCTGCTCTACATTAATGCAGACTTTGCATAATAATGTAATAATGAGGTTTGTCTATATAAGTTCAATTACTTATTTTGTAACATTGTCATTTAATTCAGAAACAATCAAGATCATAACAAAACTTACAGCATCTGATCTTTCAAATAATTCATTTGCAATAGCTTCTCTGTCATCAACTGGTTGTTTTCCAATACTGTCACGAGATTCTTCTGCATCACTTTCTTCATCATCTTCAATACGTCTAAGACGTTTAAATTTTTTCTTCTGTAAATTGACATAAAAAATATGAATATCTATTTTATTATTGTTCATCCCTTACAGAATATACAATTTTATTTAATTAATAAAATTTGATATAATTAATGAATAACATTTTATAAACTTTTGTTCTGTTTACTCAGTAACTTCAAATTGAATATTAATACTATATTAGGTCATAATATAATTCATGTATAATCTTAAAATCCTGTATTATTAATATTAAGTTATTCTATGGTATAATCCATGGAGACCAACAAATGGATTGTGAGCTGCATTTGGTTCTTCTTGACCCTTATTGCAGATCTTGTATACATATACGATTTCTATTTACACATACATAATATTTTCATAAGTTTGCTGACTGTTATGTGATATATACACACAGACCATAAGGGTAACTCACAATTGAAAGCTAGGGTACATTCATGAAGTTGAATGATTTCGTAAAGTACCAGAAAAGTAACAGTAACATTTACTACAGAACAGTGATAACTATAGTATTTTTACTACATATAATATAAAATGCCATTCATTTAGAGCAATGATTCTCAACTACTGTGCCGTGGCACTTTAGTGTGCCGCAAGATTTTTGCAGTGTGCTGCCACTGCGAATACCCATACATAAGTGACATCATACAAATAGTTCAATTAGTTCTACCTTCCTAGGGCACATTTGGAAATTGTAACCAGTGTTACCAGTAACTGCTGGTAGTTACCAAGACATTTAAAAAACGTGACCTAAATAATCAACTGCGTTTAACCTATTCAATGTTGAAATTTTTATTTGTTGTCTGTGACGCCATGTTGAATTTTCATCGATATTAAGCCTAAAATTTTTTTTAAAATAATAATCGTGTTTACTGTATCATAAAAAATTATTTTTTTATGTTTCACAAACAAAATAAATATATTGAATAATATAGAAACAAAAAATAAAATTATATTTTAAAAGTTCGTTTTAATATAAAAATTGTGACGCATAGCGACATCTAGTATAAAAAATGCTCTGATGTAAACACGAAAATATTCGGGATCGCCCACGCAGGTCAATGAGGTCAACATGAATAATTTCAGGAACAAAGTAGGACAGGTTAAAAATCATTGTTATAACGTCACTGGTTGTCCTGCAGTAATTACCGAAGTAACCGCGTGTGCCGCCAAATTTTTAATTATTAGAAATGTACCGCGATGAAAAAAAGATTGAGAATCACTGATTTAGAGGATATGGCTCTCACATATTTCTGATAGGCAATATGTGACTCCTATTTTGACAAGGTTGTCCACCTATTCACCTTTATTTATAAAATAAACTATAAATTAAAAATAAATGTTAAGGGGGCCTAACAATTACCAATGCACAAATATGAATACAGTGGAACCTTGGTATACGTATGCTTTAGAATACATCCAATTCGGAATACGTCCTGTTTGGACGAAACAAATTTTGCTCGGTATATGACTTTTGTTCGGTCTACGACTTAATTCAATTATACACGCCATCTATGAACAAGTAGCAGTATCGGTGTACTACACTAGACTAGACGTTCGCGGTGCTACGGTTTATATCTTTGTTAAATTTCTTCTGATTTTAATTTGTAACATTTTATTATTTTTATTAATCATGAATTGCAAAACGGCAACAGAAAAATAATAAAAATGACTAGAATCACAACGGAACTGAAAAAAGAGATTGTTGAGAAATATGAAGGTGGCACGTGTGTTCGACATTTAACGAGATTTAACTGTTGCATTCAGTATTCCGAGAACGACGATATAGACAATCGTGAAAAATAAAGACATTATTAAATTTGCTAACGTTGCAAAAGGGGTTAAATCAATTTCTAAACAGAGATCGAAGACATTAGATCATGTTGAGAAATTGCTTTTGCTTTGGATAACTGAAAAACAGTGTGCTGGCGACAGCGTATCGGAAAAAATTATTCGCGAGAAAGTTAAAAGGATACATACTGATCTCATGAAAATCAAGCAGAAACTAGCGAGGAAAGCGAGGTGTTTAAAGCCAGCCATTTTTTTTACATGAGAACGGATTAATTATTTTTACATTACTTCTTATGGAAAAGGTTGGTTTGGTATACGTCCTATTCGGTATAAGTCCAAACACCAGGAACGTATTAAGGTCGTATACCGAGGTTCCACTATACTTAGTTTCTATGTAATATACTGGGCTTCAATACACTGTAATTTATATTCTAGTAAATTAGAATCTTTTACAAGGTGTAATTTTATAAGTTGATTTCAAAGTATGTAATATCAATATTGTTATTTATAAAAACTTATTTCAAATTCATTCTAATAGAGATTTATTATTATAAATATCAATAATCAATTGTATGAATTATTTATTTGTTTGATTATTTTACTGTATTATTTAAATATACTAGCAGTATAATGGCTTTTCCTCTTTCGCTAGACTTATTACACTATCAGTCAGAGAGAGCGGACAAACTTTAGAAAATCACGTCTTTATTTCCCTGAGGAGTATGCATTTTGGACATTAAGTCCCTTTTCAACTCCATGTGATATAAATGATTATGAGAAGTACAGGAAATTGCGACGATGGATACAATATGGATGATGATTATTGATTAATTAACAGGTATTTGAGCAAATACAATGGTTCAATACATAACATTGTAAGACAAACAATATCTATATATATAACCCATTGAACAGGTATCCGTCTGTCTGCGTAACAGTATGCCAAAAACGGGCACTAGAGGTGCCCTAGAAAAGATTTTAAATTAACAATAAATTATTTTTATTTGTAATAGGAATTTATTATTGATATGAATTTATTATTTATACCACGGAATGGTATAAATAATTATTATATGCCTTGCCATGCCTTATTATATGCCTTGATTAACCTTGCGCCACATGTTTACGATATCCTGTGACTCAGTGAACGTCGCACATTGACTCACGGGAAATTTGTTGAAAAATAGCGGATACATTTAAAATCGAAGTTTACAGGTGAAGGTAAATAAACAAATTAAACTATTTTAAAGTATTTATAGAATGTTTAATAGGTAGAAATATAGATCCGTATGACATGATTGGGACAGTAAGATTTACCCTCCGAATGAAGGGGTGGCGACACCCCTCTGTGCAAACAATAAATGTCTAATAAATCATACTCCTACGTGCAACCCTTCCCAAGATATAGCCCTCTGAAAATTATTCTACAGGTCACATGACCGCCTGTTTGCCACAATTTACCCTGCGAATGAGCAGGTCGGCAAACCCCCGAGTGTGCGCGAGCGTGTTCGTTTTTTCCACGCAGTAGGCTTCCTTTCGACCATGGTGTCATATAACCAGAAATGACGTAGGCAAACTTTCAGGGGCTTATATCTCGCAAATGGTCGCGAGTAGGGGTATGGTTCCTTTGACTTTATTATTCGCACAGGGGGGCTACAGTTTGGGGGTTGCCACCCCTTCATTCGGAGGGTAAATCTTATCATTGGGACTTTAACGGAGATGTAGAGCATATTGATAGAAACAAAAAAGTCAAGGAAATTTGTAAAGAACACCCAAGGAAAGAACCATGCGTCAAGGAAATTTGTAAAGAACACCCACTAGGGGGCATCCCAGGCTATAGTACATAATAAAGTACACAGTTAAAACTATAAAATTTAAAATTGTGACATTTTTTCTTATTTCTGTGAATCATTCCATAGTTTACAATTCTACAGTAAAATATTTTTTATTCTTATTATTTTAATGGTGCACTTATTTTACTTTATCATTCTATTTTATTACTTTAATAGTGTGAGAGCAGCCGGGGACGTAGATATTCGTCTACGCCGCTTACGGGCACTAGTCGCGAGACCAGTCTCTGTCGTCCAAAGAACAGCCTTTCCCGAACGTAGGGAAACGAGTGGCGGAGGGTCTTACAGTTGAGTGGAAATAGGGCGGAAGTTGGTGGTGGTAAATTCACCTTCTTCCTTACGTCAGGTTCCCGACACCAGTTTGTCAATTTATCGACCCACGGACAAACACGTGTGTGATTATTTTATAGATTTGATTCAGAGACTCTATAGGAGACATTCTTTAACAAATAAACATTAATAAATTTAATTAAACATAAACAAATAATAGTAATACAAATATATGATAGAGAGACAACTACTACAAATTACAGACTATAAGTCGAGCAAGATATGGACTTATACTTTAACCTTTACGAGATCGAGAGAGAGATTACAAAATCGTTATTAGACATACAACCTGTTTAGTTGTCGTTCGTCTTCTTCTTGATAGGCAAAGGACACTTTAGAGGTAATGTTCATTTACTTCTTTCCATGGGAGATCGGGAATGTGCACAATATTAAAGTATATCTTCTAAGCGCTAACTCAGAATTTATTCTATGTGATGAACGCCCCGAATTTCGCCAAATTTCCTCTATATCTCATGATTTACGACCAATCATCTGCCAGAAACTCTTTCATGTGAACGGATGAAAGGGGAATAAATGAGGGGTGAACATTTCCCATCAAAGCGAGAGTTTTCGCAGATAAGGGAAAAACAGAGGATGTTCTAACTTACCTAGAAGGAAGTAGCATCTGTTATCTATCTTTCCCACGCTAAAACGTTATTTTTCTCACCCCAAAACGAAAGAATATTTTATGACAAAATATTAACATTATTAATAAAATTACTATTTTAGACCCAGGGCTATTCAGATCTCACAATAGTTTTACGGTATACCATATCATGGTTTTAAATTTTATAGTTTTAACTGTGTACTTTATTATGTATATTGTTTGCCTTACAACGTTATGTATCAAACCGTCGTATTTGCTCAAATACCTGTTAATCAATAATCATCATCCATACTGTATCCATCGTCGCAATTTCCTGTACTTCTCATAATTGTTTATATCACATGGAGTTGAAAAGGGACTTAATGTCCAAAATGTATACTCCTCAGAGAAATAAAGATATGATTTTCTAAAGTTTGTCCTCTTTCTGACTGACGGTGTAATAAGTCTAGCAAAAAAGGAAAAACCCTTATAGTGCTAGTATAATTGAACACAAGACTAGACAAGAAGCATATTGCAGATATGTATTATTTAAATTATGATTAAGGAATTATTTGCATCTGATTGATTATAGAACTAACTGAATAATTACACAATTAAAAATGATGGATTTTGTCACTAATCTGCATATAGAGATAATTCACTTTTATTCACAATTGTTCTATAAAACTATGTGAGAATGTTATAGATGTAAAACAACATTTGAAATTAAATATTACTTGTAAGTTCTAAGAACTTAGTCACTAATTAACACAACATGGATTTAAAATAATAGAATGTAATTTTTTGCATTTCTCAACAATTCACTAATAAGAAAAGTTGCCTCGATTTGCTATATAAACCTCTATTTCAATATAAATTTTAAAAATTTATTTTAAATAGAAAAAATTTAATTCTGCTTATGTTATAATCTAATATAAAACTTGAAAATAAAACTTAAATACATTTTTTGCTTTTTATTAATTAATTCTTAGCTTAAGTAATTTTTTGACAACTGATAACTTATGGCTAAAATTATCCTTTGACATAATTTATTTCTAAATTTACATAATTTAAACAATTTAATGCCTTTCTGTTGTTAATTATTCACACCTACCAGTTATTATTTTCCATCTTAAAATTAATTTAAATACAAAGAGTTGAAGCCAAACAAATGCTGAATTAAGTTGGCCTATATTACCACTACTATTAATAATTACATACTAAGTAACTTGAAACTAGAAGTTGGCATTAGGCAGTGTCTCTTATTAATTATTAATAATAGAAGTAACATAGCCTGATTTAATTTGGCATTCATTTTAATCATGCTTCAATATAACTATTGGGCTTATAGATGTTTATATATGTATATAATTACCCTTTGAACTTTAACACCCAAATTTTCTTCTATTAAGTCATAATCTTCATCTTCCAAAGCATCATCATAATCATCTGTAAAAAGAAGCATTAAAAATAAATAAGAAACATTCAAATTACAGAATAGCTAAAATTTGATAAATTTGTTGTTTTAACTCAAATTCAAGTAAAAAGATATCAACCTATATCTGCAAAATATTTGACATTCTTAAACAAAAAAGAAAGAATCAATAATTAAGAAATTAATTTTGTTAAAAGTAAATAAGTACTGGAAACAAATATCATTCATTTCAATTACATTCTCATATTCTCTGATAATAAAGGGTATCTGGCTTAGAGGTTTAATAAAAGAAAATTTTACAATTTTTGATGTATTTGTTCTTATCAGACTGGCAGTCAGTATGTATTTCATGTTAACATCTGTGGCCATTTGTGAGAAATACCATACCTTGGCACTGAGATTATTAGCATATGCACAGAATGGCAAAATAGGTGCACATTAATGAAGGACCAGGTGATAAGCCACAGTGAATGCAGCAAGTTATTTGGACATGCTGCAACTTTTGCTATCACTCAACTTTCTCCTGACACCATTTTACAGTAGCATATGGCTCCTCCCCATTTTGCAATTTAGAAAAAACAATTTCTGAATAGACAGAAATTTCCAGACAGTAGATAGTTTCTTATCATACTGGACTTTTTCCTGTGGAATTTTGTAAATAATCAAGTATATTGTACATTTGTGCATAACTTGAATAATCTGAGACAGAATCTGTCAGATTATTGACAATGTCACACCTCACATGTTATTGAATATGTAGCTGAAGTGAGTACAAGTATTTGCTACACCACTGTTGGTGTACATAGTAAAGAGCATTTGTGTGTAAAAATATCTGCCAGAATTTTTGTACTAAAAGACATTTCCTCTTTCATTAAATTATGATAAGTTTTTAGTTTATACTGTTTTCTTTTACTAATGAAACTTCTAAGCCAGACAGTATATTTCAAGTTAGTTAATATAATCTTAAAGAAAATTTGCATTTTTAAGTAATAGTTGCTCTTACAGTAAATCTATATAATAAACCTATAATATATATTCTTCAACAGACTTTTACATTATTTTTGGTTGGTGCAGCATAATGATAATGTTGATCAAGTATTAAATTTATTTCTTGATAAATTACTCTTTATATATAAACATCAACTCACAGCCCGAGTAGATAATAACAACACCAAACGATCGCCTAATTTATCGGGCTATAATATGGCTATAAATAGCCCGATAAATTAGGCGATCGTTTGGTGTTGTTATTACACTTTATTCCTGCATTATCTTTTGTCATATACTATATATTTTAGATTATAATTGTGAAGTGATACATTTAGAATGAAAAATAATCAATAAAAAATAATTTTATGTTGAACAACCTAAAAAAACTTGGATTACAATGTGACAAAAAAATGAGAGATTGTTAATTCAAAATAATTTATAAAATGTTTCCAATAACTCTATAATGAACACAATTAGTTTTAACAATATTTTAATTTTCATTTCAACAAAACTTTCATTCCTGGAACTTAACTGTAAGTCTTATATAGTTTTTATGTGAGATTCGGAATTTTATTAGTTAATTAACATGAGAAATATATCTAGTTTTTACAAATTGTTTACAAAAAAGGAAGACAGTGTCACATTTTACAGAAAGAAGGGAAATCAACTTCCCTTCCCATGAGTTTATTTCTTATCTTAATCAAAACGTCCCATGCACATCCCATTAGCAATTGTAAATCCTTTAACACTATTGGTCAAAAGATACAAAAAAAGGGGCAATTTTTCCACCATTCAGGGCAGTCTACAAAAGAATAGATTGCCATTTGAGACGCAATCGACATAAGTCCGAATTTGCTACATAGACGACAGGCAGTCAACAAAAATATGACATTGCCATAGGAGTTCTACAAAGATTTCCCTTGTGCTCCAAATCCTAAGTCTCTGAGAGAAAATTTGTCCTGAGTTCCGACCTGAACTTCACTGCTTCACTCACCATCCTCCTTCAAGACCCCCTCCAATCACAAGAACACTGCCACAGCATTTCTCCATCTTCATCACTAACTAAGAAAACCAAGTCATGAACTCCAACAAGGTAGTATATGTTTATCTGATGTAAACTCTCTCTCTCAAGCGAATAGATAGGGAATTACAAACCCCTTGCTTACCTGTAATTTTATTTTTATTCTTATTTTGTTCTTAATAAATTTTGTTTCGTTGATATAAAATGGATTCGTTACTGAACTCAACTCCATGCCGAAGTCTTATCATGGATCTATAATCCTTCCCTCTCAAAAAAGTTTATTATTTTATCCATTAGCGTGCCTAACGCTGTAATTAGGCTGATGTCAAGAAAAACAAACCTACAGGAAAGTTTTACAAATTCCTGTAAGAAATTTTTTTTATAATATTAAAAACCTATCCTAGTGACCCTGTGGGCAGATCTTTCTGATCTGAGGCCAAACGAGTAAGAAAAACCATTTCTTACCCACCAGATTCCCACATTTTATATCTTTCTTATAATATAATAGTTTATCAAATTTTAATAAGTCTTACCATGCCGTTTCCGTCTTTTTCGACCAACATCTTCATCTGAATCAACTTCAGCATCATCTTCTTCCTCTTCTTCTTCGTCATCATTAATTAAATCTTTCATTTCTTCTCGTAATTTATCCTCATCTGTTTTAAAAACAAATGGTATATCTTAATATTTTAGATTAAATTTTTAATAAAATAATAAAAAATGTAACAAAATTTATATGATCTAGCATAATATGTTTAGTTCTTATTAAATCTAAAAATTTTAATGCATATGTACTAATAGGCAATTTTTAACTCATAAGTTGAAATTATTTTTGAGTACAGTAGAGCAGTGGTTCTCAACCTTTTTTCATTAGCGTACCCCAGTGGCATTTCCAACTTCCCAACAAGCAACGCATGCGCAAATCTCGCACTGCCCATTTGTAGAGAGTGTTGCCATTTTTAATTTTATTTTTACTCGGTTCTCGGTCCCCCAAGTACCTACAAGTCTGGTTTTTTTTTATGCGCACATGATTTGGGCACCTAATACTTTGTGCCAAATTGCAACTTCTGACATGAACTCCTTCACACTTCTAAGCTGGTAACACAGCAGGTATTACAATTTTATAAACAAAACATAGTCTTGTCAATAAAAAATTAATAAAAATACTGAATAAATAATGAAAAAAATTACCGCTTGTAGAGAAAATTGGGAGAAACTAGCAATGTCCTTTTCCTTCCTAACAATAAAAAATACTTTTTATAAACAAAAAAATACTTTATTTAAACAACACGTGGGGATATTGTTGAGAGATAATAATAACAACGGTAACACACCCCACCATCAAAAGTCCATAGCATAATCACTAATCACACATAATGGTATTCCCATTACCATTGACCAACTGCACAACATTTATTGATCTGTTGCATTGTTCAATCGGCAGCATAAGTTTTTATTTATACTGTATTTTTGCATTTTGAAATGTATAATAAAGTTTGTTAAAATGTATAATAAATTTGCAATGAACATTTTTTATCTAATAATTTTTTAATACTATTAATTTGTGATACATTGTAAGGAACCAAGTCTGAGCTTTATTTTTATTTTACTTTTATTTTGCTTTCATTATATTTTGTTTGGGGCTTATGTGTTGAGAAATTGAAGGTTTCCTCACCATTCACCTTAGTAACTTAAAAATAGAAGAAAAACCAACTCACCGACGAAAGAAAAGCGCCGTAGAAAAACTCGCGCACACTTGCGCTTCCCAAGCGGAAAAAAGTAAGTCCGCACCGAGAAAAAGGGGGGGGGGGAAGACCCCACAACCCAGTTAGGAATCGCTAAACCTTAAAAGAATAAAGCATCCCGATAATTGTTAAAAAGAATAATGTAAAAGGTTAGCGAAGTATTGTCGGAAAATAATCTGCCAGATAAACGAGAAAAATTTAATGTTACAGATAAGTATGTAAATGAGGAGAGTGAGCTCATTCAGAATTGTGACGTCACCTCACACTATAAAGCCTCTAACTCAAGTGAAAACGAACGAGGTGAATTCCTGATAGCAACGAGCTTTGGTGAGCTTCGTAGCAGTGAACGAGAGAGGTGTCCGATAGGATTTTGAAGTTATTCGATTTGTGGATCGACGATTATAGAAAGTCTTGAGAGTTGAGGAAATAGGTTCCTAGTATATTGAGGTGACGATTAGGATCTTTAATTTATAAGAATTATTGTTTATAAGTTAATTCTTTGATTTTGTCGAATTCCAAAGGGGAATAGAATTAAGTTAGAAATAGATTGATTTGAGTTTGTCGGATTGATTCTTGTTGAGTTTCATTGAATAAATTATTGTTTGATTTTTACTAAATACTGTATAGAGTTTATTAATAGAAGTTTAATTAAATATTTGATTTTGTTATTGACAAACTTTGTCATTATTTAATTCGGTGCACGCTTAAAGTCCAGGCCTGGCACACTAACGCGAATCCGCGTAAAGTACCCGTTAGGGAACGGCTATTTCCGGCACACAGTAGTGTCGATAATCGTTGGAAAGTCGGAAAAATAATATAGTACTTTACAACATAATATTGAATATATTATTTTTTCTGTCATAATAACCATCTTTTGTATGTAGCCCTAAAGAACCTATCATGTACCCCTAGGGGTATGCAATAGGTTGTTTAGGGGTACCTAAATTGAAGCAATCGGAAATAGAGCACTCACATCAAAAAGGAAGCTAAATTGGGGAACTCTTGAACTCTCGGCAATTTTTTTCCAATCTCTTCATACAACAATTAAATTTTATGATTTACTCTCTCTCTCTCTCTCTCATTTGTTTTGACAATTTTTCTTTGTCTGATTTAATTTCAGTTGCCCATTTTTTTGGGTAAGTGGGAACTGATTTCCTAATGGGTATGCGGCTTCGTGGGGATGTAGCATTGGAGTCAGTGCTATGTTTAGCATTCCTTGACCTTTTGATGTTGATTGTTTTGAGAACATGACCACGGGCAAAAATGGAATGCTTAAAATCGTAACCATCATAGTGAGAAAGATCATTATGACTTTGAGTAATATTTTAAGGTTTAACGGTTGATCGGACTCCGGTTGATTCTCTTGTTTCAGAGTTGCGTCCGGTTGATCTGGCTTTTCCTCATTTCTTACTTCTACTTGGGTTGACATAGGATTTGTTTCAGGTTTTGAGTTGCTCCTTATTTCTAGATTTTGTCCCCGTTTCATCAAGTTCAACTCTCACAAATTTAAAATAATATTTTAAATTTCCAAATAAATGAGAAATAACAAATTTGTTTAAATAGTTATGCTCAATTTGCTACTTAAATTACTTATCATCCTATTGATTACTTAAATTACTTATCATCCTATTGATTACTTAAATTACTTATCATCCTATTGATTACTTAAATTACTTAGAAACATCTGTTTTCTTTCAAATGATATAAACCCGAGCTTCCTACAATAAATAATAATGAGTATATAGCTTTTGTTTACATGTCTTTCCCTACTCGTTATATACATCACACAGTGGGGTGTCTGATTCACAAAATTCTAGATCAAGTTACTTTCTATTTATATAATGTATAGTAGACATAGACAGTATTTACTTATTGTTTCAACAATTATTACAACAATCTACTATAATAAGCAATTTTACGAACGATTATTTACATACTTTTTCTTCTTACGTAACAGCGTGGGGGTGATTATTTTCTCAGCAGATTTATGACAAGACATTTCTGACAAGTCACTTATATGTTTAAATTAAATAGTGTCAATCATAATAGAAATTAGCCAACCAGAACTTAAAAGATATTTATATAAGAGATTTAACGTAACTTCACTTCATCCAACACTGGAATATAATCAATATTTTGGTGTTAGATCAAACTTTAGTGTATTTAATCGCATTCTAACAGAAATTTGTCGCCAACTGAAGAACCGTTGAAGGTTCAAAAACATTTGTGAAATTAATAATTTTTTGTTTTTTGAAGTTAATTGCACACCGGTAACAGGCTTAGAGGTACATAATTGAGATTTAACAACCAATTAGCTACAATAAAAGCTCCCATTACTTTATAATAGAGAGACATGGTCTTTGCAGAATTATAGCCCAGGTATAGTGACAAAACATTTATTAGTTTAAACAGTCAATCCACCTAGAAGATAGAAAATTAGAGCTTAAATCATTGCTAATTCCTCAAATTAAATCAGATTTTGCAGAAATATCTGATTGGAGCTTTTTGTATTGCAAAAGTCACTTCTGGAAGCATCATATGGACATCTCTGCAGCATAAGTTAATAAAATGCTTGGTCATTTCTAACTGAAGAGACTTTTGGAGTTATGAAATCAGCCAAATGAAAAAACAATTTGTTGTATTATCGTGTAACCGTGAACAAATCAAGAAAAAATGGCGGGATTAATCAATGAGAACAAACGTTTTTATTGACCTGTGCACATCCGACTTGGATTTCTACACAAAAAACCACAGGTGGCGCTTGACTTAAGTGCAACTAATAATAACAAATATGATTAATCTTAACACTCCTCCTTAATGATATTACAGCGTAACTTTTCGAATATTACTCGATAATACAACACGTTATGGGCCCAGGACCTGTGAATGAATCTTGACAGTTGAATTTGTCTAAGAGAAAGGAAAAGGCATAAATTGAGAACAGCAAGTTGTGTCGAGACACATGTCAGCCATACCTTCGTTCATCGTCTGCAATCACCATCTTTGACAAGCTTCAATCGTCAGTCAACTTTGTCAGTGTTCGTAAATGATCGTGAATTGCTACCCGTCGTCACCGTAAGTGTATTTAGATAAGATACAAAACTAATTAAATCAGTAAATTATTTACAAGGAGAGCCTACGGCTTTGGGGTAACAGATTTTGATGATCTTTGGTGTAGAGGTAGTACACGATGTGAGTGTACTACCTGTAAAATACTAAAGTGCAATACTCAAATATAATCGAGAAAATCGAACTTAAAGTTTTGTTAGCACTTTATATATAAATTATACGTATTTCTATTCGAGCGTCCTGTGGCAGAGTGGTAACGAGTCTGATTCGTAAGCTTGAGTTCTCGGGTTCGATTCTCGCGTATAATTTTTTTTTTAATTCATAAATACTTATAATGTATTTATTTATTTACTCATTCATTTATTTCTTATTATTTATTTATTTTAATTTAATTTCTACTATTCCAAGTCTAATATTTTTATACTTTTGTTGACAATAACGGCGCATTCTTGACACCTATGTGTCAACTTTCCCATCTAATTGTTATCACTAACGGTGACCGATCTAATTCTCACTAGGAGCGTTTTTTCTATCGGAGTTCTTTTTCACTCACTCTTTAACAGTTCGTTTCTAAATTTCGACACGAATAGACGTATTTGTGTAGTAAAACTTATTTTGAAAAATTATTTTATAATCAAAAAATGTCGTCAAGAGAAGCAAGTTCTTCACGTTGTGACGAAAAAACTGTTGATGATAACTCTTTATACAGTGATGTAAAATACTAACTTGTAAAGTGCAAAACTCAAATATAACCAAGAAAAACGAATATAATTTATTGAAGCAATATTATATAATTACATATCATTGTCAGATGTACATGATCGTGAATGATACTTATGATAAAAACATTCAAAACAAAAATTCTGTCTACACCAAGAACAACAAATAAATGCTGCTTTTTTAAAAGGTATCATCAACAGTTTTTTCGTCACAACGTGAAGAACTTGCTTCTCTTGACGACATTTTTCGATTATAAAATAATTTTTCAAAATAAGTTTTACTACACAAATACGTCTATTCGTGTCGAAATTTAGAAACGAACTGTTAAAGAGTGAGTGAAAAAGAACTCCGATAGAAAAAACGCTCCTAGTGAGAATTAGATCGGTCACCGTTAGTGATAACAATTAGATGGGAAAGTTGACACATAGGTGTCAAGAATGCGCCGTTATTGTCAACAAAAGTATAAAAATATTAGACTTGGAATAGTAGAAATTAAATTAAAATAAATAAATAATAAGAAATAAATGAATGAGTAAATAAATAAATACATTATAAGTATTTATGAATTAAAAAAAAAATTATACGCGAGAATCGAACCCGAGAACTCAAGCTTATGAATCAGACTCGTTACCACTCTGCCACAGGACGCTCGAATAGAAATACGTATAATTTATATATAAAGTGCTAACAAAACTTTAAGTTCGATTTTCTCGATTATATTTGAGTATTGCACTTTAGTATTTTACAGGTAGTACACTCACATCGTGTACTACCTCTACACCAAAGATCATCAAAATCTGTTACCCCAAAGCCGTAGGCTCTCCTTGTTAGTCTGTCAATATGGATATCATAAAATCTCAAATGAAAACTTTGTCAGAAGATGCACAGGGAAATATTAATTATGTTTCATGGAAGTTTAAACTAAATCTTACATTGAGATCGAAGAATTTGTATGACATTGTGAACAGAATTATTCTTAAACCTGAAGATGCAAATAATGCGGCAGATGTCACAGCATGGATTAAAAAGGATTTAGATGCTCAAGCTTCTATAGGTTTAAATGTGAGCAGTAATATCACAAAGAAAATTGCAAATTGCACTTCTGCATATAGTATGATACACAAATTAGAAACCTTGTATGGTAAAAGGTCCGATCTCACAATTGAAGGGTTACAGAGAAATTTTTTTAATTATAAGTATGATTCAAGCAAATCTGTAGTGGAGAATTGCTTATCAGTTCAACAATATGCAGAAGACTTAAAAGCTGAAGGAGAAACAATTAAAAAAAGCTGGATTATGACAAGAATGCTCGGAATACTGCCATCGAAACTATACCACTTGAGGACGTCATGGGATAACGCTAATTCAATGAACAAGAACATTGACACCTTAATTGAACGACTTCGACTGAAAGAAGACAGATTGAAGGAAGATGACAAGAAGGAATCAATCGCACAGAATGCTCTCATTTCAACGCAGAAAACGCAAGGTAACAAGGACAAAAGTCAGCAGAAAAGTTCAAGAGTCGAATGTTTCAAATGCGGACAAAAGGGACACGTAAAGAAATATTGCAAAAATAAGTTGTGTCAGAAATATTTGGAGTATTGCAGGAAAACTTATAATTGTAACAACTGCAATCAAAAGGGCCATTTCACAAGGGAGTGTATAAATGAGAAGTCAGAAGAATCAAAGGAGATAAGATCAAAGGACAATGACAAGCTCTTGTCACTGTAGGATTGACATCAACAAAAATAAATGACAGGAACTCAAGACGAAATCAACAGGATATTTGGTATCAAGATAGTGCTGCCACACAGCACATGACCTTCAGGAAAGAATGGCTGACAAACTACAAAGCGCTGGAGGAGTATACAAAGGTGATACTTGGGAACAACACAGAAATCAATGGGATCGTAGTAGGTGACATCGAACTCAAGGTTTTTAATGGAAGGGAATGGTATCCAGCAACCTTGAAAGATGTTTTATATGTTCCTAATATATCATTCAATCTATTTTCGGTTACCCAAATGTTGGATAAAGGAGGGTTTTATTCAGACTGCCAATGCAAACACATCAATTATCAAAACGGCCGATAGAAAGGAGCAAATAGCAGTAGCACAATGACATGAAGAATTATATCAAATGATGTTCCGCAGAGAGGACACAGGAATGTGCATGATAGCCAACTCAATCAAAGTCTGGCATGAAAGGCTGGCACATCAGAATGTGAAGTACTGCAAGAGTATTTTGGACAGAAATAATATAAGATATATTGATGACTGGGACAACAACGTTTGTATTGGCTGTGTCTATGGCAAACAACATCATATCTCTCACCCAAGAAATAACAAGGTAGCGAAGGAAGTATTGGATCTTATACATGTTGACTTAGGTGAAATGGACACCTTATCTCTGGGAAAGGCAAGATATTTTCTCTTATTCAAGGACGACTTTTCTCATTTTAGGACTGTTTATTTTTTACGAACCAAGGATGAAGCCCCTGCAGCATTGGGTAAATACATGAAACTAGTTGAAAAGCAATTTGGAAGAAAAGTGAAAAGTCTAAGGTCTGACAACAGGACAGAAATCAAAAATTTGACTACCAGGGAGTTACTGGAGGAGCTTGGAGTTTTACATACTAGGACAAACACGTATACACTGCAGTAAAATGGACGAATAGAGAGGGAGATGCACACCATAGTGGAGTTAGCTCAATCTGTTTTACATGCCACGAACTTAAGTGAAAATCTTTGGGCTGAAGCTATTAACTACACCATTAATCAAACAGGAGAGAGTTCTATAGATGATAAAAGTCCTGCCGAACTTTGGTTTGGACGTATGGTAAACATCTCAAAATTGAAAAGTTTCAGCTGTGAGTGTTATATATTGATTGAAGATCATAAAAGGAGAAAGATGGAGAGAAAGTCTGTGAAAGGAATCTTCGTCGGATATGATCTCGATTCAACCTGTTATAGAGTCTACTTGCCAGATGAGGAGGAGGTCGTCTGCACTGACAATGTGATTTTCAATGAAAAGTCTGAAACTAAAGGAAGCACTGCCGAAGTCGAGACCCACATGAAGGAAAAGGGAACAGAAGAGAAGATAGAAGAGTCCGAAACTGAAAATGAAACAGTAGAGGATTCAGATGATAAATGTTCACAGAATCATTCATGACACATCACTCCAGAAGAAACTGATGAAGGACCAGAACCGCCAGAGGAGATTCAACGAAGTTTACGAAATTGCCGAAAACTAAAAGCACCAACCAGATACAATGATTATGAGATGGGACTAATTCACGACAATGCCATGATAAGAGAAACCAAGAATATTTCAATTAAGGAGGCTTTGGAGGACAAAGGATGGTATAAGGCTATGCGGCACGAGTACGACAGCCTGATCAAATTGAAGACTTGGAGCCTGGTGGAACCTCCAAAATATGCGAGACCTCTGACATGCCGATGGGTGTTACGTCGTAAACAGGACGGCAGGATGAAAGCTAGATTTGTTGTAAGGGGATTCGAGCAAAGGCAGGGCATAGATTATTCAGATTCCTTCAGTCCTGTAGCCAGACATGCATCTATCAGACTCGTGCTCAGTCACACAGCATCCAGTAAAATGAAAGTAACAGTTTTTGATGTTAAGACAGCTTACCTACACGCCAGTCTCAAAGAAGAAATATATATGAACCAGCCAGAAGGATTCTCTGATGGGACAGAAAAGGTTTGCAAGCTTGAAAAGAGTCTGTACGGTTTAAAGCAAGCCGCCAAAGATTGGAATGACCAAATTTTCTTACGATTTCCTTTTCTTACGATAGGATTTGTTAATACCGACAATGACCCGTGCGTTTATTACAACACAATTTAACCAGATCTTCATGATTTTAGCAGTAATATGAACAATTTTGAAACAATTTTTCAATTTTACACTACACAGTTGGCAGAGACTAGCAATCAATTGCAAATACCAGTAAAATACTATAAATATAACTTATTTTGAAGGTGTTTCTCAATATACTTATGACAATACCTGGTGTATGTTATGCTCAAGCAGTGAACTATAAAATGAAAAATTAGAACAACAAAAACCATCTCCAGCCATTAACTGGTATATTTATTCTAAGTTCACAAAAAACAAACATTAAATAACACAGTTTAAAAGTTCAGCCTTGAATAACAAAAGATAGTTCCATGGAATTTGAAAAAAAAAAGTGCATGCAAAAAAAAAGAAATAATAATAATAATTGCCATGAAGCATTGCTTTTGAATTCAAACACTCACTAGCTGAACTGAACAATATCAAATTTTTTATTATGTTAAACAAACTTTAATTTAATAAAATAATGATTTGTCATTTGGCAAATTCTTTACATCACAATTTATAATGGCTATTTCTTTCTTTTTGGTAATAAACAAAAATACAAGATTTTTGTTTCAGTCAGCTTACAATTTAAGTAATTTTTTTTTGGCTGGGATTTAATTGTAACATTGTCAAATATTTATATTTCTGCTATGGCATAGAATACTTTCCATCCTAATATTTATCTTGTTATAGTTCTGTTAGTAAATTGTCAAAAAAGTGGAGATCGATTTAAACTAATATTGTGTTATCATATTTTGCATCATCATCATAATTTATGTAAATTTAAGTATTATTATATAGTTTAACTTTACCATCTTCCTCCTCTTCATCCTCTTCGTCGTCGTCATCATTCCGACGTCTTGTTGGAACAACTGCTTCAGCTTCTTCATCCGATTCTACTTTTCTTTTTTTATTTAATATTGCCTCTTCATCCGACGACTCTTCAGCCTCATTATCAATAAAATCTGACATTACGTATTTTTACTAAAACAGAAAATTAATCATTAATAATGAACTTTTCAACTTATTGCAAATCATTCAAAATATTTATAATTATAAAAATATTAGAAAGTAATTTTTTATTTTAAAATAAATTTAATGACTATTAAAACATTCTCACATCATTAGAAAAATAAAAAGGTTAGGTTAAATAATTTTATTTATATTCTAAAATAACAATTATGTTATTTGATTATAAATTTAGTTTGTTATATACATAACATATACAGTAAAACCTGTCTATGGCGACCACCCACAGTTCCTTCAAAAAGTGGTCTTTTAGACAGGTGGTCGTCCAATACAGGTGGTCCTGTAATAACATATTTCCGTACATATTTTGCGTACTTTTTAGCCATTTCTACTAAGCAAAACTCGAGGTGAGCAAACATAAGCGAATTTTTTCAACGATAGGGCTATATTGGTATTGTATTTTATTTTAAAGATGAATACAATACTCGCATTTTCTCGATTATAATGCACACTTTCTTTTTTCCGACTTAATTAATTCGACTCGGTTCTTTTCGTTCTCTCCTCAGTTACCTGTATTACGTCATCGATATACAAGCGCGTCCTATCTCTCCATCACTTTGCTTTTGGTTTTTGTTAGTTTAATCTTATTTTAACTTTAAAAATACTGTATTTTTTAATATTTAATATTTTCTTAATTAAAAAAGGACAATAAGAAAAATTATTAATTAATAATAAAACGATTTTATTATTTTTTCTCGTTGTACGATTTCATTACAATCGCGGAATCGAAAAAGGAAGTAAAACTGATTTTTGTGTTAATGCGTTTATTGTTTTTTGAATATTTTGCCTGCGAAAATTACTTGGATATTATTTTTCTAAAAATATTGTGGAAATAAGATAGGTTGATACAGAAACTATTTATCGCGCATGTACTGTATATGAGCTTCGAAATAAATAAATAAAAATAGATTTTATCAAACGATGAGATCAGCCGATTAATTGTATCGTGTACAATATTTTACACCCACAAGGAAAATACTGTAGGTCTAGGGTAAAATCAATTTTGTTTTCCCACAGTTAAACTTCGCCGCTAATTGCTGTTGTGATAACTTTAATACGATCTTCTAACGACAGCTCATTTCTTTCATTTTTCGGACATTTTCCAACAAACTGAAATGAATTTCCTTTGTTGCTAGACTAATTTATTAACACCTGCACCTAATTTCAAGGGTGGGAGAAGTGCCCGGGATGGGTTCGAACAAGAGTTTAGACTAATTTATTATATTAGGAGGGAAAAACATTGTTAAGATGGGTTCTTACAATAGTTTAGACCAGATACATTCGCGAAAGTGGTCACTTATTACAGGTGTTATATGTTATTTTGGACCAAAAATCGATGCCCGCGGTCGTGTTACACAGGTGGTCGTTTAATACAGGTAACTTATACGAAGACTCTATGGGTAAACTATTCCGTGCCAGAAATTTTTGCCCGTTTTGACAGGTGCCCGTCGAATACAGGTGGTCGCCTAAGCAGTTTTCACTGTATATGTATATTATGTTACTATTTGAGTATCCTTCAATATGTTTTGTAATTCTTTATTTACTTTTTAGAAGAAATCACTCAAATCTATCGAGTATTAAGTTATTTTGCTTAAAGTTAACAGAAACTGAAAATTTTTACTGCAGCACTGTTAGAATATTTCAAGTGCCAGACTATGGTAGCAAATTAGCCTGAAGGCCAAGAAGATATTCACCAACAGCCTGCTGCTCTGAGAGATCCAGCTAATCAAAATTAACTCAAGAATTTTCTTAAGTATGTTATACATTATTCTTTCATTATATGCACATTTCCATTGTGAATATGAGCTTGCTAACAAGGAACATTCGAATGTCTATAAGATAGAAAAAGAAAAAATAACAACAGTCTAGCATTTTTGAGTGTTCTATGTCAAATTTATAAGCTTGGATGGTTTCATTCTGTTATTTAATAATTATAAAATCAAATCAAAAATATTTGCTAGAGAAGAAAATTTGTAGAAAATGAAATATTAAATGAATATGAAAAAAAATATCTTCAAACTATATCAAAATATAAACCAAAATACTGGTTGATTCAAATCAAAGTATCCCTATTCAGTCAAATAATGATAGGAAAAATTTAGAACTGTAAGCAAGAAAAGATTACAGTAGATCCCCCTATAAAACCGTTTCCTATAGTTATGATTCCTATAAAAATTGTGGCAGTATCCGTAAACAACGGTAAAAATAACTCCTATAATACGTAAAACGTCATCGGGCAGCCGAACTACTTTCCCGCCGTCCGTAGCGCCACGCTACGGACGTTTAGGCGGATAAATTGAGTTTAGTATCGTCTGTTCATATAATTATATATAAATTAGGTACTGTACATATAATTATATATTAATTATATATAAATTAGGTACTGTATATATAATTATATATTAACTTAATTTATTGTAACTTTATTATAATTAAATATATATTTTTCGCCGTCTAGCGTCACGCTACGGCGAGTTAGGCGACCTATCGTCTGTCCAGTACTGTAATTTTATACATTTCTTGTGAAAGAAACATTTCTTATTTAACGGCCATAAAAATTATTTATATTAAGGATGTCTCCAAAGGTCAACGAAGTTTTCGCAGAAAAATAATATCAGAAATCGCGGCCGCGGTTTGATGCGCTGTTCCGCGACGAAACCAAGCTTTAGCAACGGGCGTAGTCGAACGGTACACACTCGGTAAGCAATCCTACAATTTTTTGTTTATAACGTAGTTTATACGGATTATTTTCAAAAAAATATACGTATTTTGGAAATGTTGAGTCGAATTAGTCTAGAATCGATTAATTTTATGAAAGAAAACTTTTTAAACATCTGTAGTCCGTAAACTATGATTCCTACAAAATTGATTCATAAAGAACGGAACGTATCTACCGTCTTATAGGGGGATCTACTGTACATCAAAATGAACTGGCTGTATGTATGATTGAGAAATAAACCATAACATACAAATCAAATCAAAGAATTTTATTGTCCAAGGTAATTCAAAAGCTGGAACAGTAGACAATACAGCAAAAGTAAACCATTCATACTTACTATAGAACAAAATTTTAATAAAATCACCAACATTTCTGGCATCCTTTACCAGCCTTTATTTGATGAAGGCCTCGAAATGAGGCTGAAAACTTTAGTAATTTTATTAAAATCTTGTGGTGGAGCAAGTATGTATGTTTATTTTTGCTGTATTGAATTTTATTGTATTCATTCTATACATTAATGTGATATATAAAAGTAATCAGATATGACAGAGCTAATAGAAGTCAATGATCAAGTGCAATGTCCAATAAACTGGCCACTATGCAAGACCTAAAGCTGATACTGCCAAACAGCATTCCCTAAAACAGAACATGACTGATCTGTATAGATATTATGCACAATGTACAATTCTGATTTTCAAATTTGGCAGGTAAAGAATATTGACTTAATACACCATGTTTTCAAGGTAACCTCAAAATCAAAAGTTATAAGACTTTGTCTTGTGAATACAGTGACTATTTCATTGAAAACAAACAACTGATTATTTTATACTCTTTGAAATTATATTACAATTGCTAAATATCACATTTTATGTTGGGGAGGTGCACCATCTTGCATAAAAACTGTTATGTTCAAATACCCTTTTTTCTGTATTTGAGAAATGACAAAAACCATCCAACTACATGCTAACTGTTTATCATTCCAATAACACTATGGTTACTATGTAGATCACATATCTAGTTGAAAGAGTTTTCTCAAAGATCAGGCCAATAATAAACTTGGCCATAAATTCAGTCTATACTGTTACATTTAGTGAAGGTATGGAAACTTTGTAAAGTGCACAAAGTTCACTGTGGTCCAGTCAAAGAATCAAATTTCAATATTCAAAAACATAAAAATGTGCTCCATCAAACTACACTGCACTGTGAAGGTAAGTCTTTGATCACAAACATCCTGCAGAATAACAGGGGCTTGCTTTTATTCCAATTAGCAAATGCTTCAATTACACTCCTTTTCACATAGTCTCATTAAATTTTTTAACAGATTAAAAAGACTGCTATTAGAAATGAAACCACATTTAGATAACTAAAAATTCTTTAAAAAAGGTTCAAGTTCAACTGCTATTGTTTTAAAAAAAGTTTCTTTTGCAGGCATAAAAAAATCATCTAATCCTTCCTTAACACATTTGTAAATAATATGTAAATAAAATTTAGTAAAAAAAATATATTTTTTTTTACTAAACTTTTATATAATATACAGTTATAAGTAAACATAACTAAATATTTGATAAGTAAAAAAGTATATTTTTTTTTTTACCTTATCAAATATTTCTTAATCTTTATATGCACATTCAGAATTTTCCACACAATGGATCTGACAAAATTTTATGAGAAAACTTGTGCATTTGATTATTACAGAATAATCTCAACAAATGCAATCATTTTTAAATGTATAGTAAAGGCCTCTCAAAACTGATTAACATTTCAATTTGCAACTTTATATACTACTAGTTTGTATGTTCCATGAATTATATGCAAACTGCACAATTCAATAACCAGCAACTTTGCATCACTAGAATTAACTTCTATTTTTGATTTTAGTTTTGATATTGACTCATAATATTTCTTTCACACACAATTTTGAAAATACCTCCTTAAATTTAATTAACAAATCATCAGCTTTACTATGATTAAAAAAATGAGGTAAACTATCTCAATGATATCTTTTCTTTCCAATCATTTCAGAAGCAGATATGAATATCCATTTGACCATTTTGAGCTGTTTTTTTTTTTGACTGCTTCATCAAAGTAAACAACTATATTCTGACATTTGTGTAGTTTTTAATATATCATCAGTAAAATAAGGAACTAAACCTGAATATATAAAATATTTACATTTTTTTGTTTAGTCCCATTTGAAATTTTTTAGCTATAATACAGGGGTGCACAACCTGCGGCCCACGGGCCACATACGACCCCCTATCAATGTTTATGCGGCCCGCAGACGGTACAGGCCAAATCCCTTCTTTCGAAGTTTCTAAGTGTAGAACTTTTTCCCTTTCACAAAGTCATTAGCACCAACTGTTTTATGACTTTCCCTGAGGTGAGAAATGGGGGATTGTTCTATAAATAAGTCTATTTCTATCTAACACTTTCTGGTTTAGATATGGAATATTTTAAAATGATGTTAGAACGTCATTTCCGATGTTATCGGGAAGTTTCTATTTTGGCGGGAAATCTTCAATTTTATGCTTCGGAAAACTTGCCTATTCGTCTAAATAGCGTCAAATAACAAAAATAAGTGAAAATAGCGCTGAAAAACCATGAAAATAACGATTTTTTAGCATTTGTTTACATTCTAGATTCTGATTGGTATAGTCGAATTTGAATCAATCTTTTCTGAAAAGACGCTTATTCGTCAACCTAATGTCATTCAAACTAGAAAAAAACTAACCAGAGTTCAAAAAGGAATGTACAAAAAGCTATAAAACCAATAATTTACAACAATATCTCTCCATAGACAAAGAATAGAAAAAAAATTTTTCACATCAAATTTATTATTATTAAGTTGGACCAAGAAAATTAATACTGTAGTTGGAATAGAGTCATTACGACTAAAAGGAAGCCATTTGCATTAAAATATTTTGGATTTAATAATTATTACAAACCGCGTCAAGCCATAAACTTGTCAACAAAGAGGGTTGTAAAATGATTCCGTGTAGCTAGAAAGCTGCGGTTTTTTTTGTTTGAAAGAAAACAGATATATTTAGGTTATTTAAGTAGTAAATTAATTGGAACTTTTTATTTACTTTTATTTTTACATTCTTTTTTTCGTAAATTTAAAATTAAATTATTATTTTTAATTTTTATTTTATTTGAAATTTAACAGTCGTAAACTGTGATATATTTAGGACAGAAAAAAAAAAAAATTGATTCTAGCGCCAATTTGAAACGAGATATCGCAATTTTAATAATTATATTTAAAATATTCAGATTTTCCACTGCACTGTGTTAATCACTTTTGATTCATTTCTGAACACGGGGGTAAAACTGACGGGCCATAAATATAATTTAGGTAAGAATGGTAACCACATTTATGATGGATTAGTGTCCTGCACCTGGCATGTTGACGATCTGACTCACAAATTCTGAGAAATGGTGGAGACGCCCGGACAGGGGTCGAACGAATTAAGACCTGCCTGGCCACGTGTGCGTAATAGTCTTCTGTCCCTGCCTCTTTAGTCTTTGGTCAGAGTGGATACAGAACAAAGCACGTGGTAGTCTAGCTTGCCTTATCTCAAACATGATTTGTTGCGGGCCTCAGAATTTTCGGCACAATGAGACATTGTTTTGCAGAGTGAACAGTATGGCGCCGGGCATTAAACGCAAGGTCAATCGCGAGAATCATCAGTTTCAAGAAGTGGAAGTGTGGACTAACAAGTACTGTTTTGTGCAACAGAACAACAGCATTATTTGCCTTTTGTGCAATGGAACAATAGCAGTGCCAAAAGAATTCAACCTGAAGCGACATCATGAAAGCCAACACAAGGATTTCCTTCTGCAAGGTACGGAACGCAAACGGAAAATCGAATCGTTACGACGATCACTAATCAGCCAACAAAATGTGTTCAAGAAACAATCTGGAGAATTGGATGCGGCTGTTGAAGCCAGCCTAGAAATATCTGCTTTAATAGCCAAGAATGGGAAACCTTTCACAGATGGCGATATGATAAAAAAGTGTCTTATCATCGCAAGTGAGATGTGTCCTGAGAAGACAGTGTTTTCAAACAATCAGTCTTAACCACATGACGATACAACAAAGAATCGCACAAATTGCATCAGACATCGCATTAATCACTTGGAGGTCCGGCCCCCAGTCAATAAACTTAATCCTAATTTGGCCCTTCTTCAAAAAAGGTTGTGCATCCC